GCTTGTCTCGGGATACTGAGACCAAATTCTCACAACCCAGGATAGCAGGCTGGGAGACTGTTCACCCATGAGCAAGAGAAGTGAACAGACTGACATTTCTTTTCTTCTCCCCTTTGCCGCCCCCATCCAAATGCACACAGACCAAAGGATCAAAACAATAAACTGAGTGGAAAACGCATAGTTCATCAGCTCTCATTATCTAGTCTTTTAAAGGACTTGGAAGAGCAACAACATCAACAGCATGTTGATGAACATATGCTATTTTAAATTAGGGTGAGCTGTGCTTCAGAGCAAATATCTCTGGTAGGAATTCTTTGGCAAATTTAACTGGCATTCGACAACTCCCATATTTACCAAGCGCTATTTATCTAGCTAGAATTGAACAGTGCAGAAAATATGCTCAATACATATGTAAAACACTGGTGCAATTCAAATTCCACATGCACGGAAACCACTACACCACAGGCTTTTATTCCTGAATGATTCCTTGAATTGGGATGGCCCCCACTGGCAAAGCAGAGGCAGTAGCAGTTTAGGAACTGAAGGGGGCTAAACCTCCTCTTTTCAGACTGGTTTGGATTACATTCTTGATCGTATGCTCAAGGACAGCTATGTGAGGCAGGGGCCAATTTTCCTAAACGCTTCTAACATCCTAAACAACTTACTGCTTAATTCCTATTGTTTGCTTTCACTTCAGTTGTGAGCCGAGGCTGTGCTTTCAAGCCTGGAGTATAACCCCATGTCAGTCATGGAGTCTAATATTAATAAAAAATAGATTTTGAGTGGGCAGATATCAACCAAAAGAAGAAATGATACCTCCGGTTGGCAAGAGAACTCATTGTATTTATCTAGAGGCAGGCAGCGCATGTGGTTAGTGTACCTCAGCATGTCTCTATTCAGGGAATTCATGGCAGACCTGCAAGATGCTTCCCACTTGGTGGGTGGCTGCCAGCAGGCGCCAGTACCTGGAAACAACTAAGAGGGCACAAACACCATTAAGTGAAAGAGCCCCGCAGCCAGGGAACTACCATAAGGTGAAAAGAGTCCCATCTGTGACTAGATTGTAGAATAAATATTCATACCCCTCCAAAAAAAACCCCAAACCGCTGTGGTTTAAATGACACATAACCAATAACCAACAGGTTATCAAGACCAAACATGTTTTTTTCACAGATTCTGAAAAATGAAATGGGTGGCAGGTATCTGTATTATGGGAGGTATCTCCATGCAGAAATTCCTCTTCTTGGACAAACCAGTACAACAGAGATTCAGGACACAGCATTTAACTGAGGAGCACCTTACCTTCTCAGACAGTTCCTCAATTTGCCAAGCTTGTTTGGGAACCTCACTCTGTTTCCTAACATTCCTGTAGCCCGCCGACAAAGGATTAAAAATCTGGGCTAAAAGGAAAATTGTATTCAGCTCAAGAAGAGCAAAGGCTGAATGTTAACTAAAGAAATCAAAAAGGTTCCGTGTTGCAAAAATGTCAACTGAAATTGAAAGTAAAAGAATGGCACTAAAAAGAAAAACTAGCTTGCCTTTGAATAGGGATGTCAAGTAACTCACCACATAATTTTGAAAAAGATAAGATTAAGCAGTAAGAAAGCTCAGAATTTTAAAATATTTAGTGAGAGGCCCACAGTGGCAGCGCCAGTGTTTGATGCCAGGAGAAAGGCATTATCACAACTGGCTGTCGGACGCACAGGAAGCTTAGGAGGAAGGGAGCGCCTGCCTCCCCAGGCTGGGCAGGACAAGCGGACACCCCAGCAGTCAACACCCAAGCTCCGAGAATTGGCCTTTCCCACTGCAACACCCGCCTCTAACCCGGACAAAAAGCAACAAAAACACAATAGGTCTTGTTCTGGGTTATGTCCAACACAAATAACTGAAGGGCTCTAGAAGAGAAATTAGAAGTCCAGCCCTGTGTATTTGTTCATGATTTAAACTTTTACCACAGTAAGAATATCCTGTCATTTCTGCAAATGTTTGTTTAAGACCAAGCTAAATCCCAAATGTAATCCTTTTTCTTTTCATGTTCTTATTGATATACAATGTAAGAGTTACGTATTTTTTTAAAGTTTGGCCTGTGGCTTGTAGCTGATAGCTGTAGGATGTGGCTCACGGTGGGAGGTGCCAGCCTGTCTGGGAGCTTCGGAAATAGTATCTCTGTGTAACAGAATTAACAGATCCTGAATGGGTTCATCGGGTCACTCTGAAGAAGGCTGAAGAAACTAAGATAAAATGTCGACCCCCAAGATAAGCGCAGAAGGACCTGGCCTTGCCACTCAGTGAGTCAATTTATGACCGTATATGGAAGAAAGGCCCACAGGTCATGGAAAATGACCTCTGGGGACACCCAAAGACCACTGACTCAAATCACTGAGCATGCGTGACTGGGAGGGGAATATGTAAATATATTTTGGGAACTCATTGTCGTAAGACAACCTTTTCTTGGAAAATTAATCAATATGTATGTAAAACTTTTATATAAGCTATGCAACTAACTCTGTGCGGCTTGCACATTAGGCGGAGCGGTCCCCTGTGCGTCCAGTGCTGCAATAAATAACACCTGCTTAATAGTCACCCAAGACTACTGAGTCCTGATTTTGGCTTTTCATTACTTCATTATTTTTAAAAATGAAATTTGTTCCTGCTAGGAAACATGCGTCTTAATAAATAATTAACAAAGTAACAAAAATCTCAGTTTATAGACATAAACAAGAAATACAACTCCAACAGAACTCACACTAACCAACATTTCTGGTACTGTTGTCCCAAAAGCGGATTCGTGGCCCACTGTGCAATAAGTCAGTTGTCACACACTCAGGAAAGAAATCGCATATTTATTTCAGGTTTGCACAGTCCCGGGTGCTAGGTGGTTTCCCACAAATGAAGCACACCTCGGTTAACACGCAGCAGCATTTTATACACTCGGAGCAGCAGTTACCAGTTATTTCGCAATCAGGCTTAATCACTTTCCTTTCTTACTGGTTCCCGAGAGCTTCCTATGCCCTTAAAGCCACAGTGCCCTTTCTTTGTACTGCGCATGTTCCCTGAGGCTGTTGTTGGTAGGGGGCGTACTCTACCCAAGGGGTGGGGTTTTACCAGCTGAATTAGGACAGGTGACTCGAAGTTCAAGTCAGCTTGGTTCCCTTGGCGCTTCTCTTGTGACTTTCTTGCATAGCTAATTCACGGTGTCATCCCGTTCTTCCTCTCAGGGCCACATCTTGTTAACCACATACAGAGGTTGAATGTTTTACATATTTCTCCAAGATGTCTCGAATGTTCTGACCTTCAGAACATCCTGGACTGATAAATGTCCCTGACTCATCAACTCAATAATATATACCATTAAATAATCGGACCATTCTAAATTTCTGAGTTAGCCTTCAACAGTATAACCTTCAAGTGTTAATGTCTCTGTATCTTCGATCTGAACAAAAAAAGGAATATATAGTAAGTCAGGAGATTACTATTGTAATTATTAGGATTCTACTTCAGTGTACAAAACCTGACATAGAAAAATTACCCCTATGGCAGCTAATTCCCCCTTGAGTTTAATTAGAGAATTGTTTGATCGTTTTCATACAAAATGTTTCTGTGTCAAGGTAGTGATTACGGTGATGGTATTAATGCAATCAAGGGGGAGCGTACCGCCTACATACTAAATCTTTAATAGTTTAGTTATAATTAATGGAGAAGAATTAAGGTTTCTAACAGCTTAGATAGTTAGGAGCTTTCCTAACTGAAGTTGGCTAGGAAGGTTATTTGGCTTCTGAGGCATGGGGCATGTGGGTTTCTGTCCTCTGAAGGGCAAGGAAACACATCTAACACTGCGGTCAGTCGCACTGATGGACGGACTTTACCTGGACTGAGTAACAATGTAGTCTCATCTTGCTCCATGGGAACTTATCAGATATTTTCTCTGGCTGTGTGATCCTGCTTTTAGCTGCTTTGTCTGCCTCTGTAAGACAACGGGGTAACAGTGTAAGTCAGACGCTGTGCTGCATACTACCCCAGGGTTAATATGACGTCCTTCACATAATTTCCTAATTAATATTTTTAAAAGGAAATTGGTGTGAGACAGGGAAACCGTCTCCTCCATTCTGACTTAGTGCCCTGGGTCTCAGCTGACAAGGGAGACGCTCAAGAAACCCGCCTCTGAAAGAATAAGGGCAGGCCTGGAAGTTTCCCAGTACATTTGGACAAGGACCCCTTTGCAGGGACCCCCTGCGCCTTCCCTCCTCTCCCAGCCACGAGAAAGGAAGCAGAGGCCTGGGCCCATCCCTGAGCAAATACTGGACTTCTCATTCACAGCTGAGAGGAGGGACTGGGAGAGACCCGTGAAAGCTGAGCTGCAGCTTGTTGTGTCTCATGAGAAGAGTAAAACAGGCATAAACAGAGGGAATGGAAGATCCTGAAGTTTAAACTCTTCCTTCCCGCAAGAGCACGGCTTGCCCCCCCCCCCCCCCCCCCCCCCCCCCTGCCTCAGTTCGATCAGCTACCTCAACAGCTGCAGAAAGGCAAGCACAAAAACACAAAAAGGGCATGAACTTATTATTCCGTACCCTAATTTGATAGCGATGCAGTCATGTGCCACCCTTGATCCGGATCAAGTACCAGTGGACAACTAAGCAGTGACCTGGCGTCACTACTGGTATGTCTGTGGGCTCATGAAGGCTCAAAACGTTCCTGAGAGAAAATCTGTGCTGTGGGATCCTGAGCTGGCGTGGCTGCGAGCGGCTGCCTCAGCTGTGCCCGTCTCCTCCGCGTTTGTCCCTAGCCCTCGCAGGCAGCTCCCACTCTGCTCAAGTCCAAGAGCTTCCTCCTAGGAGCTTCCCTGTGGATTGTGCTCAGGCCAGCAGCTCCGCAGCAACGAGGTGAATGTCAGGGATGCCTCAGGGTCGCTGCAGCTCAGGGCATCGCAGTGGGGAGGTGGTAGAAGCGAATGACGAGAGGAACCACACAAGTGATCCTCCTGCCAGCTGCCGGGGGAGAGACAGAGCTGTGGGCAAGGAGCAAAACTCTGTGCCTTGGCGAAGCATCTTCCAACCAGAGGAAGAAACCCCCGCGCTGCAGGGCCCTGGGGGTGCAGCTGTGCTGCAAAGGGCGTTTTGAGGGAGGCCCGGCAGCACCTGGGGACGGCAGCCACCGTCCTGCAGGCAGAGATGCTGTGGCTGGTGAATCTGGGCAGGGCAGGAGGAACAAGCTCTCCTCTGCCCCAGCCTGCACAGGGACGCTTCTCCCTTTCACTGGTTTGTTTTTTTTTTTTCCTTAGCCTGATTCCTCCCGCAAAAGCATAAGAAAAGGAATCACTTTCCGGGTGAAACGTTCGGAGGGGTTTGGGCGAAGGCCCTCGCGGGGGAGACACTGAGCCGAGAGGGTTTTTTTCCTGGAAGCGGCT